AAAAAAAAAAAGAAGGATGGAAACAATCAATTTCCAAAATGGGGATCATTTAAGGCACTTAAACAATTGCGCACATGACATTAATATTTCATCTCCTGCATTGTTTATGGAAAACGAATCGGAGTTACTGCTGTTAATTTAGGAAAGTGGTGAAGGAGGGGAGGAAGGGAGGCTGACAGGAGACACGGGGGCTCCATTTTGGACCCTTCTGCTTTGTTGGCTCTCCTGTAAAGCTGGAATTGATCTTTGATTGCACTTTTGAACGTGTGTGTGTGTGTGCGGCCAGTTTCCAATCAAAACTGCACGAAAAGACCAAATAAATCCAGCAAAATTTAACCCCCCAAAAAGGCAAATATTATCAGTAATTAACGCAGAATCCCATTAACATTTGTCCAGATGTCTTTCTGCAGATTCTCTTTTTTCCAAAAGGTTAAGAAAGAAAAAAAAGCATGTTAAAGCACTTGCTCCACTGGTTATTAACTTTTCCCTCATCTCAGCATTAAATAAATTAAATGAACGACACTAAACCAAACAGAGGAGAGAAGAAGTAGTTTGACAGACATGTTCAAATTCGCTCCAACACGTTTTCCTCTAATGGAAACCTGCAAATCCGATTTATGATTATTATTTTTGTGCTGCTCCCAGGAAAGTCTGACATTTGTTCACATCTCTTTAGAATCAAATATCCAACAGGCCTCTACCTATAGTTACACCTTCTTTTAATTATTATTTTTAGATGAAGGTTTTTAAATTTTGGTGCCAAAAATGTATTATTTTTCTGGATTTTAGCACTAAATTATTTTGGTTTTTGTGCTGAAATCACGTTAAATGAAGTGTTTTTGTTTTCTAAAGTTCTATTTAATTCTTCATGCTTCTGAAATCAGATGTTTAATTCCACACAGGCCTGAAGCAGGACTCCAAAACGCATCTCCAAATCAAATTATAACATTTTCCTATTGGTTGCTATTAGACTTTTTTTGTCTGCTGCTGCCTGTTTCCATTTTAAATAAAATCCTGAGTCCACATGTTGCCCCTCGTGGCATTTTCCACACATACTCAAGCAGCCACGTGGTTAAAATGAAAGACTTTTATTTCCACATTTATAAAAGTAATTCTCTTTTACATCAAATCCCCCCTTTTTCTGTCCAACTTTTTGCTGTGAATTTCACAAAACAAAAAATAAAATAAATAAAAAGCACAAAATGGGGGTATTTTTTTGTAGGGGGGGGAAGCTAGAGGAACGAAATCAAATAAAAAATATTCTTTAAAAATAAAAATAAAAAGAAAGAAAAAAGATCCAGGAAATATTACGAGAACCACTCCACAAGTTTGATATCTGCAATATACATTTTCACCAAAGGAGAGTATAACAATTAAGGGTTATCACTGCTTCATATGAAATAACATAAGTTAATGCACAACGTCTGTTCAAATACATCGATAGCAAATCAACAGGCGCTCACACCTGTACGTGGACCCGGTTGGTTTATCCAAAATACAAAATGAACCATCACTGAGGTGAGTTGTTTTTTTTTTTTTTTCCTCCTCTGCAGGGATAAAACAGTTTTTTTTTATTATTTATATAAATTACTTGACAATTTTTACTCAGCTAAAACTTCAACTAATAACAAGAAGAAAAAAAAAAGACTTTATATAGACTTTCTGTCGCTCTCGTTGTGGGTCCAGGCAGGTTTGTCCATCATCCGTTCTCAGACAATAGCTATGCTGTTTTATTTTTTTTGTATTTTTATGTATTTTTATTATTATTATTATTATTATTCTCACTGACTCACTCGCCTGTATAGTTTCTGGTGGCTAATCTAGCCTATTATGATAAAACTGGATCACCGTGGTCCTGAAAAAGACGCACCAACAGATCAAAGAAACGAAAAAACCAAAAAGAAAGTTTCCTTTTTTTTCTTTTTTTTTTCTTCTCTTTTTTGTTTAAATCAGTCTCTTTCGGTTAAAATGCAAAATATTCTTATTTACAGGTTTATGACTGTTGATCACGTATAAAGAAAAAAAAACAACAGATTTTCAAAAGAAAAAAATAAAAATAAAAAATGACTCATTGTTCCTTTGGGTCTTCAGATATGCTCCAAATAAATGGAAGGTTTTTGCCTTGGTCGCTAATAATAATAATAATAATAATAATAATAATAATAATAATAATAGTCATGTTGCAGGTCAAAGTGCCTCCAACATTTGGAGTCGGAAAAACCACTGAATACTGAAACTGGGTTCAAATAAATACATAACTTAGATGCTTCGATTCATGTTAAAAATAAATAAGTTATAAATTACAGCTCCAAGACAAAAAAAGAAAGCAAAAAATAATAATAAAAGTCTTCCACACAGTCTCACAGCTCCGTCCGCTGCTGCTTCCTCCTACCGCGGCCACATACAGGCCGCACTCTTCCTCTCTGTTCCTTCTTCCTCCTCTTCGTTTTCTATCTTTTTCTGTCTTTGTGTTATTTATTCTAACGAGTCCCCAAGCTGCCGGGATCGGCGTACAAAAAAAAAAAAAGAAGAAAAAAAAAAAAAACTATCTACAGGGGGGCCGGCTCACCGCTGCTGAGCTGGCCGGGGAAGCACGCCGGACATGGGGGGCAGAGGGGGCGGCGGAGGCGGCGGCTCGCTGCCCCCCTGCAGGCCGTGCAGCAGGATCCGCGGCACCAGCGGTCTCTGCAGCGCCGGCGGGGGCGCCGAAGGGCCTCTGTACAGGTAGAGGGCCGCTCCGGGGTCCAGGTTGGACACCAGGCTCTGCGGGTAGAAGTACGGGGACGGGAACATCCTCTGCAGGGCCGAGTAGTTCCCGGCTTCGGCCAGCAGCTCCAGCCCCACCGCGGTCTGCCTCTTCCACTTTGTCCTGCAAACAGGAAGGACGCAGGTTCAACGTGGAGCATATGTATGTGTAAATTCAAAATATCTCCCATCTGGATCCAATTAGAAATCTCTCCCCTTTATTTATTTATTTATTTTTTTAGATTTATTTATTTCATTTTAAATCTCCAACCTGCCACTTGCGTTCACACCCAAGGATGTGTGCTGGGCTGCCAGTGTGCACTCCATGCAGGTGAATAATTCATAATAAAGATAATTGAGCAGATATAGTAGTTTGTTTGAATTATTAATATGCACACATGCAACGATGCATTATTCATTCTCCAAAGTGTTGTGTTTTTATATTTATTTATGTCATTTAGCTGCCTGAGAGTCAGATTTGTAGACAAAATTTTTAAAAACAGCTGAAGGTAATTCAACCCAAAGCTGATTTTTCTTTTTTAAAAACATTCACCAGGATTTTTTGTTTTGTTCATTATCTAAAAAAAAAAAAGTAGACATTTGGTTTTGCAGGTTTTGTGACCTTAATTGGACGTGACCTGCATCCCCCCAAAAAACACAACCAGTGATGTTGTTGCATGAAAATAGTGAAAACAGAAGAAATGCAGGCAGAGCTGACAGGAGAGCTGCAGGTGGAGAGAAAAAAAACGTGTTTGCATAATGTTCCCTTGTAGTGTTTTCTCAATAGATTAAATAAAATCCAGAATAAAATGCTAGATATCATTTTAAAAACACAAAAATCTAAATTATGACCAAATTAGTCTTTCATGTGGGTTAAATTCAAATTAAATCTGCAGCTCAAATAAATCAGAAAAGTCAGTTAATTGTGAAAAATCAAAAAGCCACAATGTAAATCTGATTTTCTCAGTTTTCTCTGGAGCTAAATTGAATTTCTTTGCATGTGAGTCAACATTTCACCACTTATTTATTTAACTATAATGCTTTTATATGATTAATTCCTGACCTTTAACACGCTACAGAATGAATCAGTTAATCCAGAAAAATCTGAATATGAATCAATAATGACCATAATTAGGTTGAGCTGCAGTGACTCAGATGTGAAGTGAACTCTTGGCACCTTTGGGTGATGGTGAAAGCAAAAACATGGCGTCCCCGGGTCATGAGCCAGCCGTGAGAAACCAGATTATCTCCCCTCCTCCCTCCTCCTCCTCCTCCCACCTCCCCTCTTAAGCAGCAGCAGCAGCAGCGTCTTTACCTCCGGTTCTGGTACCAGGTCTTGACCTGCGTGTCGGTCAGGTTGAGCGAGGCCGCCAGCTCCATGCGGTCCTGGACGCTCAGGTACTTCTGCCGCTCGAAGCTGCGCTCCAGCTGCGCCAGCTGGTGGTCCGTGAAGGCCGTCCGGGCCTTCCTGGGCTTCTTCAGCCGGACCTGAGGGCTGTCCCTGCTGCTGGAGATCTCCCGGTCCCCCTCCTCCTTCACTGGAAGGAATAAAACAAGAGACAGAAAACGAGGGTTGAAACCAGAACCACAAGGCCGCGCTGTGATGTAACGCGTCTTTGTGCGCAAAACTCCACTCAGGGTGGAGAAATCTGTGCTGCTGCAAGGCGACAGGGTCAAGACAAATAAAAATAGAGTGCAGGTGGCAACTGCTCCTGTTCTGTGGCGTTTAATTCATGTTAAGCTGCTTGTTTTAATGTAGAATCAGGAGAAAGTTTCAGAACATGAAGTGAAATCTGGATGAATTCACTTAAACGTGCTTTTTTAAAAACTGGTGAAACTTTATAGCTGCATGTCCTGAATGAGAAATGCTCTATAGGTTTAAATATCACATTTAAAATAATAAAAACAGGTGTTCCACCCTAAAGAAATGTGGATTTAAAATTAAATGTTATTACAGTTCATCCACTATAAGAAAGATGAAAGTTTAATTGTTTAAATCAATCACTGCTGGTTGTTAGTGTGGGAAGACATTGACAAAAACACGTCCAATTTTTAATGTTAAAATGATTTTAAAATTCTCATTTTTTTCATCAGCATATTGGTTTTTTCCTCCACTTTGATGTGCATCAGCTTCCCTCTGCAGACTCAGAGCCACGGCGCTGCACACTGTGCCTATAGGCTGTATGGAGCTGTTTGATTTGGCCTTAAATTGTTATGAAAAGCTCTTCCAATATTCGCGCTTCCAATCTGATATTTTTCCCGTCAGCACAGCCGCAGCCTTTGTTCTTTTTTCTTTTTCTTTTCTTCTTCCTTTCTGCGTGGTGTCATGTCAGGGCGAGCATTGATATATATACAGTCCTTCTTCTCTGAGAGGAGGAGAAAGAAATAAAAAAAAAAAAAGAAAAGAAAAGAAAAAAAGAGGAGCGAACACGGCGAGAGCTCTTGAATAGTTGAGTCGTCTCAAGAAGCACAATAATCCGCCTAATTGAGCCACAAGGGAAGGACGAGCCTTTTCAACCGCGACCGGAGAGAGAAAAAAAAACTTCACAGCAGCGTGGAAAATGAGTGGAAATCAAGAGCCTGGGCGGCCTTGCGCGGTTACAAATCTGATTAGCGCCGGGGACAAATTGCATCAAAAATCCCTGATACATTACAGGAGGGGAGGAAGGGAGGAAGGCGGATTTGTTGGAAATCAAAGCCGCCCGTACGCCGGCGCTCTGTGGGCCCCGCGGCTTCCTCAATCAATCAGCGCGTCGATGAGCATCTCCATCCGCTCCGGTGACGCACGGGGAGCGCGCGGACACACGCACGCACAGAATTTGTGGAAGAAATTGAGGCTGTATGAGCAGCGCGCAAGCAAACCGGCTCAAGAAATAAACAAACGCGGGCTCAAAAGTGAGTGAAAGCCGTAAATAAAACGCTGCGTAATGACGGTGATAATTCTCAGAGATGTGATGCGGTTGCAGGTGTATTTCGCCTACAGCGGTCGTCTTCCTCTCCGAGCGCTGCTTCATTAAACTGTCAATGGAGGTGACATGTCTGTTATGGCTGACATGATTGGAAACAGAGAGGCCCTTGATGGCATTTATCTGGAGGCGACCCTGTCATCTCCTCCACTGACATCAACAGATGCTTTCTGGAGATTCTGCTCATGCAAACGCTCGATACGGACCGAGCAGACGTGGAGCCTGCTCGGTATTTATTTTATTTATTTTTTAAAATAACTGCACGTGAAATTCATCCAGTGACCCTGTTGTTGTCCTGGGACAAAATCACAGAGTTCAATTGTTGGTTATTGATGGCTTCCGGTTGATTTAATTAAAGATTTTGTGCCAGATTTAGTTTTTGCAAATTATCCAAAAAAAAAAAAAACATCACGAGAAATGAATATTTTGTTCCAGTTAAACCACAAATTATTACAACATAACCTGACACTTAAAACAACATTTAAAAATGTCATTTATGCCTATATTTCTTTTATTTTTATATTTCTACCCAACACTTAGTAAAATACTTATTTTATTTTGAATCATGTTGCTCCAACTTTACGCTCTTCTCATTTTTACGCATTTCAGCTCCAAGTTCTGTATGAAACCTCTCCATGACCCCCTTATTTTATTTATTATTAAGGCAAATAGTGAAATTATAAATTAGTTTTAAAACCAAAACAGACTATCCAAAAACACACAACATGCAGGCTGAATAATGTGGAATTTTATAGCGTTTTGAAACATATGTTTTTAAGATGTTTTGCAGCCACAGTGTAATTTTAAACGTGATTTTCTGCACAAGTCTCGTATGAAATCAGACGCTCCAATCACTTCCTCCTCCTCCAGCAGCCTCCTCACAGACTCCCTGCTTTGTCTCCTTACCTTTATATTCGCTGTCTGACGACGAGTTGCTGTGGATTTTCTCCATAAAGTCGTCCGCTATCTTCGAGGCCAGCCTGCCCGCCTCCTGGGTCGGCTGTCCATTGCTGGAGTACGGAGCGCAGGCGGCCAGCGGCTTACAGTCCGCCAGAATGTCTCTGATGAGGAACGACGAGGTCACGGTCCTCTGCTGCGACCCCGCGGAGATCTGTGCGTGCTGGAGGTGCGGCGGCAGCCCGACGCCGTGACCTTGCCTCTGGGCCACCTCGTCCACGCACTCCCTGCGCGGCGAAGGAGGCGACGAGCAGCCGCTCTCCACGTCGGATCTCGGGCTGAACTCCAGAGGCGAGCGGCACTCCCCCACCAGGCTGTCCCCTTTGGACACCGGACTTCCAGGCCTGTGGGACAGCAGCGAGTCGATGCCAAAACTGGACCCATTGGCGGACGCCTCCATTGTCTTTTTTTGATGAGGCCTCCTCAAACTACCATTTGGTATTCAGGACAAGTTTTATTTTAGGGGAGGAAGAAGAGGGGAGGGAGGGGGGGAGGTATGTTTTTAGTCTCAGTTGATCCAGGAGAAATGACCCCCTTCTCCCCACAGCCAGCACAAATGTTTTACTACAAATCAAGCCTCCTTGCAGCTCCTTCCAGCTCCCCAAATTATCTCCAGGCTAAGCTGCGTTACAGCGAGCGTCCATGCGTCCGGTTTCCTCGCTTTCTGACAAGTCTGGGGAGGAAAAAAAAAAGATGCTCCTGAAATCAATGCGATTCTGTTTCAGGCTTCCTGCAGGACCTTCAGTTCTTCACTTCCTCTCCGGGAAGATGATCCACTTCACACCTGCAAAAGAAATAAAGGAGGGTTTCTGGAGAAGCAGCACATTTGGCGTCTTCGGGCGAAGAAAAAAAAAAAAAAAACCCAAACAAACCGCGTTTCAGCACCATGGACAGGTAACGTCAGACCCGAGAGCGCACCGCAGGAGGAGGAAGGCTTTCAGGGCAGCGAAAGAAAAAGACAACTGCTCGCATTCTTCCAGCAAAAACACGAAGCAGAGACAGACAGAAAGAAAAGAGTCCGACAGCTGCAGCAGGAAAAAGAAAAAGAAGCGGAGGGACGACGCGCAACACACACACGCGCACACACAGAGGAAGAAAAAACCAGGAGAGGTAAACTGGGTTAAATAGTCACAACTGGCAAGTAAAAGGGACGAGATGTGATCGGGGTGGGAGGGAATCCCAAAAAATTGAACTTGAGGAAAAAGTCAGGAGCTAGGTTTTAAGAGCGCCTCGTCCACGTGAGTCCCCTGTGACAAGCCTTCATTGGCTGAGGGGAGCTGGAAGTGGACCTCCCTACACGCCCACTCTCTCTCCCTCCCTCTCTCTCTCTCTCTCTCTCTCTCTCTCTCTCTCGCTGCCTCCCACCCTCCCTCCTCGCCTGCCTCTCCCATCCTCTCCTCCCTGGCTCATCCTCACTTTGATAAAAGAGACACTGAATTCATCAGGAGACTCAGATCCAACTGTTTACAGGCAATTTTCACACTGTTTGCTTTCATTACATCATTGATGAGGCTTATAATGGGGTTATTATGTGGAGCGGCTCCGTGCCGCTTTTTTTTTTCCTCCTTCTTCTTCTTGACTCCCATTTCTTTGACTGGATTTGTTTCCCACCTCCACCGCTCCCCTGTAGACAGATTTTATTTTATTTTTTTAGATTAAAGTGTGACCACAATTTTTTTTAGTTTAGTTTAGCTTGATTAATTTATCAGATTATGTCGTCTGACAGTGCTTTGCAGGCTGTGCGTAATTTGGATTTTGCGCAAATAATTTTAAAAACTGCCAAATTATTGATTAAAAATATTATTATTATTGTTGTTATTATTATTATTACATTGTTGGTGTTTGGTTTTATATGTTTTAAATATGAAAGTACAGTTTTTAGTTTTTATTTTATATATTTTTTTGCTATTATTTATGCCCACTTTTTATTATACAGGCGTTTATTATTAATATTAGTTGTATTATTATTGTTTTTGTTTAAGCCCTTTGTACTAAAATCCCAACTTAAAAATCCCCAAACTGTTTTTTCATCATGGCCACCTCTCCAAGATATTTTTATGTTGCCTTTCAAAATAAATAAGAGGATGAGAAATCTAAAATAATCAATCGGTTTTTATTCTTGAGCAGAATTTCAAAAGTCTTGCCGTCCTCATTTAGAGCATAATAACTTTCTAATAGTCCTCGGTAATCGCGCACAATAGTCCGAAGCAGCAGAACTTCGAGGCGCACGACGCGTCCTTTTGTGCGCACTCACCAGCCTTAACATGCGTAAAATGCCATTGTGCGCACTTTTGAGCTTTTATCCACAACAGTTTGCCCCCGCACGACGGCCTCGACAGCCCCTAATAATCTAACTAACCCCCCCTTCTTCTTCCTCCCTCCCATCATCATCACCATCATCATCATCATCCTCCCCCTCCTCCCTGCCTCCCCCTCTCCTCCTCCTCCCTCCTCCTCCACCCCATGTGACCACCAGATTGGAGGCGCGCGTCGGTCTCAGACACCGGCAGGTTAGTGAATCCGCTCCCCGCTCCCATGGGGTCCCATCACGGCTGCAAGCTGTCACATATGAGGCGGGGACAACACAGATATAAGGCAACACACACCCACCCTGACTTAGCTGTTTCTTTCTCCTCTGCTGGTGCATGAAAAGGAGCAGTGGTTTGATGCTTTCTCTCTCTCCCACAGTCTTTTTTTTTGTGTGTGTGTCTCCTTTACTGTGAGTCCACAGGCTCCAGTAATGTTGTGGTGAATTAATCATAAGGTAATTAAACTGACTTCTTCCTCTTTGTGATCATCTTATGGCCTTTTAAACTTTTTTCTTTTTTTGAAAATTCAGATTTGTTTCTTCAAAGACCCCCACTGTTGTAATTTGGTTTAACAGTTTGCTGTTTTAGCCACACTTTTTATGCCAAACTGTGGCACAAAAATGGATCATTTTGGGATTAAATAAGCTTAATTGTGAAGAAATTAGCTGGTAATTTGTTGGAAAAAAATTAACAATTTATTATAAATATTGCAAATTTCCCCAGAACACTTTGCCTTCACATGCTGACTCATTAGATTTGAAAAAGCCCATTGTTCTACATCTTTTCTATCTTAGCTGCAACTAAGGCTCATATTTAATAATAAATAATTTGACTGATATTATTATTATATTTTAGGAATAGTTTTAGACTTTAAAATGTAAAGATAAAAATGAATAATCATTAAAAGCCCTCAATGACTTTTTTGGCCAAAAAATTAAATTCCAAACAAAAAAAAAAAAAAAAAAAGCCACAAAACCTCCTGTTTGATAAACATTTAGCATTTTAGCCTTTCAGACAATTTAAACGTTTAGCAGATGATAAAATTTAAATTAAACAAATTATTTCCTCAACACATGAGTTTTAAAATGCAACCTGCTTTATTAAAAAGTACGCTTAACATCAGAGGCTTTTTGTGCAGCTTATGAATCCTTTTTTAAAAAGAAACAGGAAAATGTGTTTCCTGGCAGAAGACACTGCAGCTAGACTCTGACTGTAGGTGTGTGTGTGTGTGTAGTCCAGTGTAGTGTAATGATTTGGCTCATGCTGCTGCTGATTTTGAACAAGTGTCCCTCTGGTCAAGCCAAGCTCCATTTTTTTATTTTTTCCATCTTTTTTTTTTTTTTTTGCTCTCTGGGAAGTGGTGGTCAGAATTTGTGGGCAAGTGCAACTGTTACCCTAGTGATGAAACACACACACACTCCTACTCTCTCTTTCCCTGCCTCACACACACAGACAGCGATGTTGTGGGAGGATGTTATTGATCCATGCTAAAGAGAGGAAACTGGGATGCTTTCGGGGAGGGAGACGGACAGCGGATGGTCAATCGCTGTCTGCTCTCTTCAACCTGGTCTAATAATACCTCCAATGATTGATCCGCATTAAACAGCTGCACACCTTCCACTCACATTTGTACCAAAACAAAGTTTAGCACCCTTGGGCCATTTCACTGAAGTGTAGACTGTTTTTCTTCTGCCTGGGTTGACAGCTGTACAGTTTCATTTAATTCAAAGTCCTCAAGACCAATATTGGTATTAATATTTTATTCCGATCAAGCCACTGGTCTTTAAATATGTGCAGAAATATCAATAATATAAAGGCTTAAACAAGATAAACTAGCACCAAGAGCAGTTTCATCATAATAGCCCATACTGACCTGTCAGGGTTAATAATCTATCTGCAGACATGTGCTTTATTTAGTTGTGGTTTTTTCTGTTGCATTTTTGGAATCCTGTCCATAAGCTTGCTTACTAATAATGCCTGCTGGGCCTCCTGCTCAGCTTTCCAGGCTTTTTTTTTTTTTTTTTTTTTT